TGCGCAGTGACGGCGAGTCGATGAAGTTGTCCCCGGTAACACTAAGGGGTACACCAAAGATACTCACCCACGAGCCATACAGCAGTCTAGCCGTCGTACTTCCTCTGACATCTTCCGCACCGCACAGAAGTGTATACCCTGTGGCCAAGTCCGTGATGACAAGGAATGCCTTGAGGGATGGGTTCGCGGGAGATATCCATGTAGGGTTTGGGTAACCATGGTCAATAGCAATATGCTTCCCACGAGCATTCAGATCTATTAGTCCCCACGGAAGGCGTGGTGCGGTGACCAGTTTCATACGCTTGGTAGGCTTCTGCTCCATGCAATGATCACATCGCTCAACCCAGGACCTAGCATCGCGAAGGAGAGAGGGCCACCAAACGAAAGGGACAAGGCTATCCCGCATGTCCCTGTGAGGTCTATGATAATCCATTTCATGGGCAACAAAAAGGAGCCAATCTCGCAGCTTCCAGTCTGTGTCGACATTAGTGCCGATCATGCCATTCAAACCGGTAACTACGCCTCCTGGAATGACTGGAACCGATATCGGTCCAGTCAACGCAGCTTCAGAGATAGTCATGACCACTCCTCCAACATGGTGACAAGGCCGAGAGATTTAGCCTCCGCGGCTAATTTCTGAAGTTTCCCAGCTCCGTCAAAGTGATGTTGCCATGCCTGTAGCGTAGCACCATGGAGGAGGGTAGAGGAGTCTGCCTTCTGAAGAGTTATCAACTGAACTCTCAGGTCACCCGCCAGAATGCATCTGGTGGAGTCGTGGACAGAGGCAGAACGATCCGTGGTAGCCTACCACGGTAGGTAGTTCACTTTGGGAGGGTGATGTCGAGGTCACCAAGACAAACGCTTCGCCACCACCCTCAGGGACATACCGCTGTCCCCCTTGAGCAAGACGACTCAGGAGATCGCTGAAAGAGTTATCCTTCCCTTTCGCATGGCGGTAGGTTAGATCAGCCTCATCGTACTCCAGCAGGTCTGCCAGCCATGAGAGCCACCGTTTAGTCTGTCGAGTAGTAGGCTGGTAGGTAGAGGAGTTGAGACGACCCTCGATCTTGCCCAGAGCACTAGTGGAGTCCATGAAAACTGTGACCCGTCCGAGACCATGGTGTTTGTCCGAGGAGTGGAGCTTATGGAAGTTGAGGAAGGAAAGGATGAGTTGACGCCAGTGAGACAGAGCGTGACATATGGCATATAACTCACGATCGGCGATGTCGTAGGCCTTCTCGTATGTGGACCATTTGTGAGTCCATACACCGATGAGTTGGGCATTATCAGCCAACCAGTCGGCTGATATTTGATCCGCGTTACACGCGAACTTGTCTCTCGACAGACGCCATAGACAGGCTGCACCGGCCTCAGGCGACGCGTCACTCATGAGGACGAGTTGCATTCCATCCCAGTTATCAAGCTGGGAATGAAAGGGCACGAATGCATCACCCATATTGTCGCCGATGGCCTTCCATGCCTTCTCGAGGTCCGCCGTCCAATGTAGACTCGCAGTCTTTTTGGACTTGGCCGCGACCATCGAGCCGACTAAAGAGGTGAACGGTGCCGTGAGATGGCTGAGAGTCTTGTCGGCACGATTGCGTTCAGGTCTCCATAGGGAGCGACAGAATTGTAGGAGTCCGAGTTTCGTACGAAGACCTCTGAGAGTGAGTGGTTTGGACTCCAGATTCGTACGGAGTGTTTCCAGGGTAGAGTCGGATACCCTATAGTCTCCTTGAACTAGAGTCAGCCCTAAGTAGTCGATCTTTCGAGCTGGGCCTTTGCGCTTGGCTATTGGTGCCTTGGCATTAACCCTCTCCAGGATATATACTAAGAGGCTCTTCAGGTGAACACATTCGTCCATGAACCGTGACCACGCCAAGATGTCGTCGACAAAGGTCAAGATGTGGGTTGGCCCGTCCGTGCAGTACGCTTCGGGAATAGCTGTCGAGAGGAGAGAGTGGATCGAGTAGGCCCAATAAAAGGATGACAGCTTGAATCCCATAGTCATATAGCGAAACAACGCGTATTGAACCTCGCCGTCTGAGTCATAGTACGAGAATCCAAACAGGTGCACACAGCTTTCGTCGTATTCAAGGTTGAAGAAGGCTTGGCCAACATCAATGCCTGCGTACCATACGTCACTAGAGGGTAGCTCAGACAAGCACTCATCTACGGAGCGCATGTAGGTCCCCCAGCTAGGTAGCAGGTCCATGACGGACTCATTGATACACCTTTCATCAACGACGAGACGATAAGCACGATCTACATTATCCTCAGTCAAGGGCTCGGCAACGTCGTCTGCGGCCGCTTTCGGTACTGCAAACGCAGGAGAGATCCAAACTTGACGATGATCGACCGCTGCACGTGATAGGCGAGTGATGATCCCGTTCTTCTCGAGATTCTTAACCATGAGCTCCATGGCCTGCATCTCGCGCTTACGACACACATATGGCCGCTTGGGACAGGGTCGCACGGCACCAGGTTTCAGCTGGACAGTGACCTTGGGGAACGACCATCCCTTAAGACGTTCGTCCACCTTACTCCTAGTGGGCAACTTGAGCCGTGTATCAGTGAGAACGCTGGAGATGCTCCCGCCGCTATAAGGTGACAAGGACCAAGTTGAACCCAGTGCTCCGCAATAGAGTGTATCATCCGTAGTATGCAAGGTGGCCTCCAAACGCTTGAGGGTCTCCATCCCCAAAATTATAGTGGACCTGCCCAGTTTCATATTGAGCCCGTCGGCAACATTGAGCTGCAAGTTAAAGGAGAGGTCATGGCGTGCTTATCCTTGACAACTATCGGAACCCGAGCCTGTCCTATCACGCAGATGGAGCCTAGCGACCCAGCCGATTCGAGCTTCTTGAGCCCCTAGCTGGTGTCACTTTGAAGCCCATAATGCTCGCCGACGAGGATGATATTAATGTCAGATCCGAACCAGAGTCGACCAGCAGTTCTACTGGTAGAATTCGGCCGGATGAACCGGTAGCAGAAGCTTTGATGACGCGTAGGCCTTCATGAGCAGAGTCAACGGAGCGTGCCATGAACGTCGATTGGACGGCCTTTGGGACGGTCTCTTGCCCGTCCCCTTGCCCTTTCGGTGCCTTGGCTGCTGCAGCTTCAGCTTGGCGCTGACGATACCAGTCCGGAACCAAGTGAGCGTTCGCAGGGTTCTTCCAGCAGCGCGCGTCGTCGTGCTTATTCGCCCCTCTGTACCTTCGAGTAGCACAATAGGAGCATCCAGATTTGCCATCCTTCGAGTTACCTCCACCAGCCGCATTGTCCCTTCCCACAGGGGGTTCTTTGACCTCCTTGGCTCCAGGATTATGCGACTGGGGGGCCTGACCGGGGGGCATAGGCATCCGCTTGTTCGAGAGGGCCTTGCGGGCGTTTCCATCCGATTTAGATGAGAGTTTAGATTCATCATGAATCATTCATGGTATAGGGCCGCGTCCCGAGCCTCCTCTAAGGGCAGCTTAGACAGCAGATGTCCACAGCTGGTTTCTAGAGGTGCCTTTATCTCAGGGAGCAGTCCCCCAACGAACTTGGTAGAGACAAATGGCAAGGGTAAGGTGACGCCGGACACACGAGAGAAGAGCAACCATTCACTCTTAATGCGGGCATAATATTCATCAACCTTCTCGCCAGTATTCTGTTTGAGACTCTCCCAGCGTTCGCTGGCCTTCTCCGATGTATCAGTTTCGAGAAACCGAGAGTCGAGGTACCCCCACACAGCAGACGGAGCCGGTTGGGCTGTCCCAAGATGTGTGATAAGTTCGGACCTCAAGCTCTTCCCGATGTGCCGGAAGAGGAAGAGCATGCAGTCTCGCTCGTTATCGATACCATAGAACCTGATTGACGTCTGCACACCACCCTTGAAGGCAGAGTAGGGTGTGGCCGACGTCGGACCTTCGAATTCTGTATATTCAAGTGGGAGTTTGAACACGTTCAGAGGAGCCTGCCTTCGGGAGTGCGAAGCCGTGGACGATGGTTCTCCATCGCCAGTGGGACTTACTGCTCCTGCGATGGAAGGTGAACGATTTGTGGCCGAGCCTGCGCCCCCCATAGCAGTGTCAGCAATGAGGGCTTCAAATAGGGCGTCGAAGTAGTCGCGATCGTTGCCCAGCTCGATGCTACGCACCAACCGGTACTTCCTCTTAGTAGATATGACCGCGAGAGCACTCGCTAACCAAAGCAGAGGCCGAATGGGCATCCCATGTACCAGCCCTGCATGAAGCACCATGCTTAAGATCGCCCTTGCGAAGTCCAAGGGTGCCTGAGCAGCCGCTGGACTCCCGCTGCCTTCAACCCCCGCGTCATTGGATACCATGGCCGAAGCCCAGTTAGAGACGAATGCCCTAACCCCTCTCAGGGGTATGGCTTCGAGCTCCAAGAGCCTGGCCAGGAGATAATCCATCTGGGCCGAGGATATCAGGCTAGGGTCGAAATCAAGTGAGAATGATTTGAAACCAGGACCAAGAATAAGAGATGTTCTCCATTTCCTAATCTCTGTAGCGTCTTGGGGCTCAAGTATGGTTCTTCCCAGTGACAACTCAGGATCATTTGAGGGTTCGGAGTCATTCATTAGGAAATGAGGGTGATAATATCTGATACCGATGTCATATGAATCAATAAGTTTGACCGAAAAGAATAATGGGCAATCCGTGAGGCTTCCAAAGCACAAGCAATGAGCAATGGGGCACGCACACACATAGCCTGATCGATTGTGTTCGGGCGACGACGACCTAAGTAGTCGCACGCACGCGAGAGCAGCCTCAGCACAGAGACCTTCCTAAGAGCGGAACGCTGTAATAGAAGAAACGCCTGAGTCTGTACTTCTATGCCTCCACTGAACTAACACTATCATTTCGGCAATTTTCCCATTTTGATAATTGCCGAGACATGTACCGATATCGCCCGTTGGTTTGCATACTTTCCTAAGGGGACTGTTGTGTTCGATCACTGATCGCTTAGTTTCTGTCGGGAGCACTTTTCACGAAGGCATAAAAAAACTAACTCGAGAATTCAACCGATGATTTCGGTTCGGGTTAAGGACAAACTTAGTATCATGAAACTTCCACATCGGTTCCACCTGCATTGAAATGAGGGGTTCCTTGGCCTCTCCTACATATCCTGATATTCATTTAAGTAGCTTGATGATATTATAAGGAATCCGCATAGCGCTGGCTTTGTTACTGACTCTTGTCGCGAATAATTGTGACACTGCAACATAAACTGTAACTGTTATGCTCCGCCGAAATCATGTATCTGATTCTGGCCGTAGTGGTATTGTTGATTTTCGTTGTCGATTGTGCTGAGTATTCCACTAGTCTTGTTATCTGTGTTGAGCTAAAACATATTCCCCGCTAGTAGTCAGATGGCTGTGCTTTGGTTCCTAGAAGTAGCAGTTGTTGTCTCCATCCTCCCTGTTCTGTAGACTGCTTGGATTTCTCTGTATAAACTCGAACCTGACGTTTTCCCCTAGTCGTTTTAGAATCGTTTTAGACCCGGTTTTTCCAAGTAGGTATTTCCGTGGTAAATTATTGTCTATTTTCTGCGAAGCGCTCCGCGAATCGTTCACTACTACCTTTATTACTGTCGACCGCTTACTTCCCTCCAACACCGACAAGTGTAGTATTACGACAAGCTTAACGAGCGACTGAAACCCTTATTGTTTCTCTGCCATTTACAACTATAGTACTATATCAAAACAGCGGACAATGATGCCTGCTAATATCGATAACACATCTTCGTCTTCAACTACCGCTACTGTACGAGATAGTATACCCACCGGGGCTCCAGTGATCGTGATGCTCCCTCAATTCGAACACCGCTGCGAGTAATTGACAACCTTTCGACTGGCTCCATCTTCAAAGATGAGGCTCATCAGGAACAAGTAGGTTCCGATCTTGGTCCTATAGACTTGTCGTCACACAGCACGCCTGTGCCCAATTCTACCCCAGGCAGAGCCTCACCACCCAACACTGCTACTACACCAACTATGGTCGCAGTTTTTAGGATGTGTATATTGAACTGTAATGAGGATGTACGTGTCACTGATGGTAACCTTCCCGTGTTGAAGGTGGCGACTTTAAAATCGATGGAGAACCTGATTTGACGGAATTTCGAAGCTTCTCCTGGTGATGGAACATATCACCAATTCTCATTCACTTATGCTTGTTTCCACTAATACAGTGTTGACTTGTATGTGATCACTAAAGACCGGACATCAGCTGATCCAAATCCTGTCGGCCAGCGTCAATCTTGAGGTCGTACACAGAAAAGAAAACTCACTTGCCTCGTATTGCCGCCGTTGATATAGTGTAATACCACACCACCAAGATAACAAGTAATACGGAAATTCACAGTCGCCACTTCGCCGCAGTATGTGGTCGCCAGGATTTCCCGTGACATGACTGAGTGTCGCAATCCTTGTTCTTATTGAGAATAATTGACAAGACAAAAACAGGAGTAGATGAAATACGTTAGTAATCACTTGGTAATAGTAATGCCCTTGCTCTTCGAAGAGCGCTTGTGCTTCTTAGGATTACTTTTAGACGCACTTGGAGCCGACACTTCTCCCACACCAGTAGCGTCGTCACTCGACCTCCTCCGCTTCACACTAGCGTTTTTGACGAGTTTGCAGAGATAGAAACCCCGACAGTGATCCACTTCAGGTCGAACT